ACACTGCACTCATGATGTGATTTGAAAAACAAACAAAAGTGAAAAACCAGAGATACTGAGGGTCTGAATCTTAATACTGAGTGAGAGTGGAGGGTGGGAGGTAGCTATCTTCTGGAGCAGAAATTCTGTTTTCTGGTCAGGGAGCACATTTTGCCCATGGTCAGTAGCTTTGTGATTCATGTGGATCTCAGGGACACTGGCCAGACCAGAGTAGCATGTGCCACACGATCCTCTTATGTTATGTCTTTAATTATTATGAATTAAGGAAGCAGGCCAATGGAATTTCGCTCTCTAAGAAATACATTAATTCACACTTAATTGTCATGTTTTAAAATGTTCTTCACCACTGTTGGCAGCAGGCCAGCCAGCTAGTTAACTAAACCTGGGAGAGCATAGGGCCCGGAAAGAGCATAAATCTAAAACCAAGAGCAGGATGGGCATGAAAAATAAACAAGGGCATGAGCCAGTGAGCAGCATATACACTTTATCTTTGTGGTTCAGGAGAGGACTTTTTTTTTCCCTACTAGGGAATGAAGCCCAAATAGATTTGATTTTGACATTATGTGTTCCTCTGAACCTACAATGAGACAGGGAGGAGGCACACCTCAGATGTCAAGAATTTGGGCGTTAAGAGAAAATACTGTATTCATCTGCCTGTACCAAAGGTTTTCAGTGAATTGGGGAGTAAAAGCAAAGAGGAAACACGTCTGGAAAGGACAAAAGATGTTTCATTATTTGTTAGAAAAAACCCACTCATTTATAGTGTAACATGCAGGAATGATCAGTCAGATTAGAAGAGTCTGTCTGTCCCTGTTCCGGGGGTCATTCATCCCTGAGGAAATACAACGTAGTGTAAAGTACCCACAGGATTCAAAAATTTGAGATCTAATTGTTGAATAAACATGAGCTACAAGGGTTGGAACTAGTCTTGAAAGCCTGACCAATTAGTCCATGGTGGTTTTGCTTCCCTTACCAGCCAGGGAGGCTGGAGCTACTGTCCGTGCCTGGAACATAAGACTCTCTGACATTTAAGGACAGCAAAGTCTTTAATGATCTAAACCAGCAGGAGCAGAATAAATAGTATGGCTGAAAAGTAGTTTCATGTCATTCAGCTTGTCTTTGCAATCAGAGTCAGTGTAGGCAGGTCACCTCTTTTAACCTTGGGACGGCTATATTCTTGCAACACAGCTTTCTCTTGGCCATCAGAGGAGTGTGAAAACATAGGTATATGGATTAGCTAATGAATAGCACATCTTGCATGTTTGTGGTTTACGGAAAAAACTTTGTAATGGAAGTAGGGTTGCATATAGGGTGGATTTTGATTCTGCTGCGTTCCTCTATACACTGACAATGGAAGAAGATGAATAATGCTCAGACATCAAGAGAATTAACCAAGTGTCACCTGGTCTTAAACAGCAAATTGAACTAATTCATGTGTGCTAAGATTTTGTTATGAGTTAGACAGAAAGTAACTCTAGGCTCAACTATCCACAAGAACATTAAGAGACTGTGTTTATGGAGCAAGGGACCCTCTCCCAGCAACAATTTGAGTTAGAAGCTTCAGAGCTTCCACACTTCAGCGTGGGAAGAAAAAGAGCTGCTCACCTGCTGGTTATACACAGGTGAAAACCCCCAGAACACGTCCTGAGCTTCTCTTGATCTAGCCACAGCCACATAAACAGGGATAGCATTTCCATGCCTGGAAGAGTCCCTGTTGTCTGCATTTCCTTTGCGTATGGCATATGCCTTCCAGGCACTCTTCGCTACAGAGCATTCCCATGTTAAACGTGTTTGATGAACAGCTTCTCTTCTTGCAATATTTCTAATAATGACTCTCTAAAACAACAAAAAAACCACCAAACTTCTGCAATTTGCTGAGTTCATGTAAATATTGCACTTCACTCCACTCCTGGCATTATGTTGCCTCCCTATGTATTTCTGTTGAAGCTTCTTCACTGAAATCTTAGTTCATGCACCAAACCATAGTTAGACCGAGTTTCTCTGGCTGTGGCCAGCCTGAATAATTTAGTAGTATTAGTGGTCTAGGGCAGTATAAGGACGTTAGCTGTAACCAAGGTAAATGTTAAACTCCCTTCAATTTACAGTGACATTGCTCAATAGCACCTTCCCAAATTGAAGCATATGAAACGCTAAACATTTGTTCATTGCACAATGGAAGCTAATTGTCAGCCCACAGCATATTTCTACCTCATCAACTGGTCAGTTAGCACTACTCCAAAGCTCAAGTACTTTCATATCCTAGAAGGTTTAATACCTTGGCTGTTCAGCATAATCATGTGGAAATACCATATTGTTTTTACTGGTTTCTACATTTTAAGCCATCACAGATTATGTGAACATATTTGTGTAAGTGAAAAGGAGACTCTATTTCTCATTATATCAGTTGATAATTATTGATTAAATATTGTTTTCGGTAGGTGTTAGCTTTATGCTTTTGCCGTACAACGCACAAAATGCACAGTTAGTGCTTAGGAAGTAGCAAAGGTGGCAGCTATGGTATATGTTCTAAGGGCTCTGGAACAAATCAATAATTTCTCTTGAGGTTTCCTGTATTAGTGTCCTTTATGTTGGATAGGCTACCCCCTTATGTTTCTGGTATGGAGGGTATAAGCACCTGGTAAGTACGTTGCTCTGAAACACTGAAATTCCTGTATGATTCTATGCAATGTATGATACCATGTTTACTGTGGCTAAACAGTGTTTGGACAACTTGAGTAGACAGTTGTTATCTTTTCTGCTTATAATTCCTCTGCCTCGCTTGCCAGGCATGCGTGTGGCTAGCTGGAGTACTGCCCAAGTTTCTGTGTCAATGGATCTCGGTACAGCTAGCTGCTGTGCTTCTGGGGTGTCTGTCTGATCTTTCCAGTTCCCCTGAGCTGACTGAACCTGTGATCTCTACAAGCTGTTGGGTTTGTCTCTTAAATTTACCTAGTGAGAAAAGGCGTGATGAGTATGCGATAAGTGACGTTAGTTAAGTGGAACTGCTCATGTCCTGCTAGAAGGGGAAGGAGGACAAGAGGCAGTGTGTGCAAATTGAAAAACAAGATACTTTGTCTCAACATAAGGTTTTTTTATTGTGAGGGTGGTCAAACACTGGAAGAGTTGCCCAGAGAGGCTGTGGTGCCACTGTTATTGGAGATACTCAAAACCCAACGGGACGTAGTCCCAAGCTACCTGCTGCAGGTGACCCTGCATAAGCAGGGCAGCTGGACTGCCAGCCTCAGCTCCTCTCTGGTGCTGTGACACTCACAACTTGAGTTGTGAGTTAAGATGCTCAAGCCCAACACCTGGCTTGACAAGAATTTTCAAGAATAGGTACACAGTGAATGGGAAAGAAACATGCTAAACTCTGGGGTATCCTGAAGCCCAGTAAAGGTGCAGGGGTTCTTTACATCTCTGGTGTCATTGGTTCTAATGCTTCTTCCAGTTTTGGGCTGCACATTTCCTTAACCCCTCCTTGGCACAGCCTCTAGGTCCACATCATGCAGACTGTCCCCACTTAGTGCTAAAGCTTATCTCTGTTCCTTTGCCTTTAGGCCTGCTTTATATTTTCTTCTTCTAATTCCACGTTCCATTTCTCACTCTTGCCTGCTCCCATAAAAAAAAAAAAAAAAAAAAAAAGACAAATTTGCAAAAAATCACAAAAGTGCAAAAACTGCTTTCCCACTGGCCCTCAAGGAGAAATTGCAGCCCAAGGGCATAGGTTCGTGTGAAAACTGTTACAGTGCTCAAACATTTTTTTCAAAATTTGATACAGCCTGCCTGGAAGCAGGGTCCCATAAAGTGAATATTTCCTGGGCTTGTTGTCAGTATCAAGTGAAATATGACTCATCTAAAAAGAATACCGTTAAACTGCTGCCCAAGTAACCAGCAGTCACCTACAATACTAGGAGACTTGCTACATGTTCTCTACTTGTCTTACGTACTAGCTGCATTAAACTAATGGGATAGCCTCAGTGCGGTCATCTTTGCTGATTTGGATACATTTAATTAGAGTTAACATTTTCAAGATGGTTCTTTCCTTGTAACTAAATCTGCAGGATAAAACTAAGCATCAGTGAACTCAGTGTCCGAACTCTCACCAACTTAATTGGAATTCTTTGCATGTTTGAAATACTTTTAACTTTTAAAAGCCTTTTCTAATAGTGTATTGCTTGGAAAAGACTTAGACGTTCATTAGGAATGTGGATTTTGGTAAAGTGTGATTAATATTATAGTTACTGGGAGAAAAAGGCTGAAAACTTTGAAATCTGTGCACAAATCCAGTTTTATTTCAGTTACCTTCTTCAGTAGCTACAGAGAATATTTTGGAAACTGGACATTAACTGAATTAAGTATGATTAGTCTTATTAAAAACCCAAATCTCTGCCCAATCAGTTTCGAAAATCATTGTGCACGAAGCATTTCACTGCTCCTATTTAAAACAAGATCTGACAAATTAAATTGTAAAAAATAAAAAGTAAAAAAGGCACCAAACTATCAAAATGGCCTAGAGCAATAAAACCTAAAAGACTTAATAAAAAAAAAAAGAGCTGTTGTTAGTTGTATCTACTGTACTACCCATAGGTACAAGTGACTGGAAGCTTAGAAGTTTACATAGTTAGTAATTACATTGAGAGCATACACATACGAGGCCTATTAAGTATTGTCAGATGATGTTTCAAACCCCTATTTCTGATATTCTCAGTACGGTATCAGAAGTGGAATTAAAAGGAGGCTAGAATCAAAAAACAAACTACTTAATTCTGATGGGAGCCTAAGAAAAGGCATCTAACCTCTGAAGTAGTTTACAGCACTAGTTAGCTTAGTGTCCCATAATTGGCATTCGCTCAGGGGAACTGTGGGTGGCCTGGAAGCTGCCTCACTGTACTCCTGTTCACAAGGTATAGAAATATAGCTGGCTGACGGCCGTAGCCATGCAAGTCTTCAATCCCCAGTTAAAAATTCAGCAGGTCTTACTCGACATGTGCTGGTGCTTCTCAGTTGTTCTCCTGCGGCACTGCTGTTGCCTAAAAGGAAAGAGGAGAGGTTGCTACTTTAAGGAAAGAGACAGTCACCACCTACTTTGTGTTCTCAGCATGGGGCTTTATTCCCAGAGTAGCTCAGCACCTTAAAATACTTAGTGTATTTATTTTCAGTACTCCTTGCGAGAGTCTTATAGAGGGCACTGTGCACCTGACAGAATCGCCCTGTCCATTGGCTCTCTGTGACCACCAGCAAGCCCGTGGCAGAAGGGACAGCTGAGGAGCGCTTCCTCCTTCAGGCTGTCTTCTCTCCTCAGTACTTTACTCTACTTTGTTTTCACAGAAAGTGCTTGAAAGTCCAGCTTGGAAGACAGGCTGCAAAGAGAAACCGCCTCCCCCAGCAAAATTCCTGGCAGCAGAAACTGATGTGCTGTGACAGCCAAGACAAAATGAGTTCTCACTCAGTGAACTTTCACATCAGTATTCTCATGGTTTGTACCTGAACTGTGTAAACTGTTACTTCCAAGAGCAAGTCCTTGGACATACTACATACTATTTTAATTACCAGGCCTATATAACTTTTTATGTATTTGCTGGAGATCTAGTTAATTAGGACTTCATCGTGGCCAGAAACCACTACAGATTTACCTGTGTGTTTTACCTGCAGAAAAAATTAAGACAAAGAGGAAGCACTAGATGCGCTTTAGCTAGGCAGATCTTGTCACCCATAAAAGATATGCAAGGATACTTTACATTACTCTCTTCTGTTTTTAACTTACAGCTCTCTGTGTTCCTACATAGTTTTCAGATCTGGTAAGCAGAAGAAAGTATGATTTTCCAGTGAGCTTTCCAGAAACCGTCACTGAGACCAGAAGGTTTTTGTAACATGAAGTCATTTCAGGCAGCGGGATGGCCCAGACTCACAACCACTTTCCCCTTTACAGGAATCCATGAAAGAGACCCAACGATTAAGATCTACCTCTCTCCTGTAAGCCAGATCCAGTTTCCCACAAAAGGTACAAACACTGCCAGATGGTTACAGATCAAGGGTAGGAACATAGTCCAAGTCAAAACATTTAGTCTCACTTGTTATCTTACATACTTCCTATTCAATAAACACTTAAAAAAAAAAAAGCAAGCAAACACCGAATTCTTGCATGAATTTTGTTCAACATTTTTCCATGTTTATTTACCTTTAAAATCTAAATTATAAATTTGAGTTTACTCTCTCAAGGGCCTTTCAGATTTGGGAAGATCAAAGTTTGTGTTCCAGCTGTTTGGTAAAGTTGTAATCATGTAATGTAACAAGCTTCAAAGAAATTATTTACATGGTACCTGTCAATTATATAAAACTTTAACTGGATCTTACTAAGTGCTCACTCTGGGAAACTCGTGAGCACTGAATTTCTGGCTGCAGTGAAAGGTGAAAGTGTTCCGTATCTAACAAAACCAAACAGTCTTTGAACCTCTGTGGCTGAACACCAAGAATCTGTCTTCTCCCTGCATAAGTAGTTATGTTTCCCAATACATGGAAGAGCGCTAAAAGGAACTCTGTTAAACTCTCCCAGATGTCCTAGCTTGGTCCTCCAAAGCTAATCTTAAGATTTCTTTTCTATCCAAATAAAATCTTGTGCCATTGATCAAGAATGCAGACAACAGCCAACCAGCCTACTCTCACTGTCAGAGCAAGTCGTTCTGTGTCAAAGTTTTGAGTTTAAAGAATTAAATTAACTTTATTGAATAATTCTTTACAGTAAGCTACAAGGTTTAAAACAACTGACTTGAAATGTGATGGGTTTTGGCAGGACATTTGAGGCAGGAAATGTTACACATGAATTAAACTGTGAAGCAGCTACATTGTTTTGGGCAACTTTCCATTGTCTAGGTTGCATTTATGAGGATTTGCTGCCTGAAGATGCTCAGCTAGTATCAAAATTCTCATTAATCCTCCTCTCTGTTCAGAACTGATCTCCAGAAGGGGAGGCAAGTTACAAAGCAGGGAACTCCGCATGAGAGAAGTTCAAATCGACAAATTGAGTAGTATTTGGAAACAGGTTTTATGTTGGTCCTAGTTGGGGATGCCCAGGGAAAGGCATGGTTGCTGGACATCCTGCCTGTCCTGGGGCACCAGTGCTCTGCCCTGTGCAGGCAGGAGGACAGCCCCTCATGCCTGTCCCTATGGGTGCTGAGGGCTCAGAGCCCGGTGCCGGACAGGGAACATGTTATCTCGTACTTACGCAGAGAGTCCTTTCTCCAAACTGGCTGTAGAAGGTCATCTTGACTTTGTGCTTGTGTCCAGTCCTCTGATCAAAGGTGTTACAGCTGTCGAAGGGGGGGCTGTACAAATGCAGGCTAACAGCAGACTCTGTGTGGCTTGTGTTCTCCACACGGTGCAGGCCAATGGAGTCTACACCAGCGAGGGCATGAAATGAGAGGCTGTGTTAGTGGGAAGATTTAATGAGAGCCCAGATGCCTGGGAAAATGCTTTCTAAACCAAAACTCATGAGCAAGTCAGTTAGGCATGCCTGCACTTTTATGGGCAACAAGTAACTCAGCACAGGGAATCTGAATGCTGTTCTCTAGCACAGATTCCTAAATACACTGGTAATTCAAAATATCTCATTGCCTTCCACACTTCTTGTAAATTCTGGATTATCTGCTACAGGATAAAGGCCAACAGAAATCCAGAGAAATTTAAGAAAGGCCATGCTGTGAGTAATTTTCTAGTTATCATTCCCGAAGGACTTCAAGGTTATTTATTTTCCTAGAAGATGCTGTTGTTATAGATGCTCCAGAAGCAGGAAGGTTTGCGTTTCTAAAAATTAGCAAGACATTTTACAAGGAAAATCTTTTTGTATTGCTAATTCTTAGCCTGGTAACAGGGATGTCAGTCACATTAAAAGTGAGCTACATGTATTTGAGGCACCGACTTTTGGACACAGATACAGTAGTCTTCTGCTGCTGGCATCTGTTTCATAATTTGTCCTTCCAGTTTATTAGTTTGGAGAACAGGCTTTTCATTTGTCTGCTCTTTTTGACTAAGGTGACAAATTACTAGTGACTGGCATACTTCCATCCTTAACTGAATAGTAAGCATAATTGAACAGGTAGTAAAACAAGGCACAGTCTGTTGCATGGTCACTAATGAAGTAATGGCACTTTCTGCAACAGTGGGATAGAAATCAAGCTGTTACACAAAATTGTAAGGTATGAAGAATCACATCGATGAAACAAACCATTTCCATTCTACTCTAAAGTGGAGTTTTTGAGTTACTTAAAAGAGACCTTGAATTTAAATTTATGACCCTGCTGTAAAAACAACTCAGGCCTTTGTACTTGAATTACCATGTTATATAATACCTAGACCTGTGTTGTGCAATGTAGGCATGATACCCCGAGAATTGTTAGTACACTCTTAACTCTGATACATTTGAAGTATAAGCCCTAAGTGTCATTGACATAGCTTACCTAAACAGACGATGTAGGAGAAAAAAGTCCTAAATCTGTGCTCATCTATTGGGAGACTCAAATAAACTCTGTTTAGTGGGTTCTAACCTTAAAAATAAAGCACAAGAGCGACCAAGAAGCATGCAATAGAAACATGAAGCTCCACTCACTACTGAAGTAGTCAGGGCAATCAACACACTACCAGTGTTTTCCTCCTCTTTGTTTTACCTGTTTGTTTTAAACCAAAACATTTGTTATGAAACACGGCAGAGACCCAAACTGCCTCAGAGAACTGGATACCAAATTTGTTTAAGACAACCAGAGAAACTTTGGGTCAGATGCACACAGGGTGCAGTTGCTTGCATCAGAAAGAATCACATAGGTAGGAAGACCTGACGGAGTCTGAGAACCCACATCTCTCACATGGGAGCATCAGCAGATGTCTCAAGCTCCTTCTTGCATTTCCTGTCCTATGGATTTTCTCTTTTCACTTGATGTGGCACATCTTCAACAGAGGGCTGCAGAGAACTAATCCTCACCCTGGCTTAGTTCGTAACCCAACATGAGGCTCTCTTCAACTAGGGAGTTCCCAGGCTCAGCCCCACAAAGCATGTGCTCCAGTTTTTAACTCATCAAATAAAAGGCAGATGGCCCCCTTCTCTGACTCTTTGCTCCCATTACTGTTCAGAATGATGTAGAATGTCTTTTGTAGTACCGGAATATGTTACACCCAGCTGGCCACTGACGGCCTCCAGCGTAGCACAAGGGGGTGATAGTTACAGATACATATAATGACATGGATTTAGGTACTTAGGGACCCTTACTGGTGGAGACCTAGTCATCCCTCAGCATCTGTGGAGTCAGGCAACTTTTTTCTAGACTGGGTAGACTTGAGCATTTCAATTCTGCTGATGCTGCACTTGAATGCTACAGGCTTTTGTTGATTTGGACAAGAAGTAGCACTGAGGACTGGGGCCTCTGCTCCTGGATGGCCAATTTATTCCATAGACAGCTTTTACATTTCTTACCTAGGATTTCCATGACTGACCAAGAGGACTACTTCTTTGAAAAAAATCATGATTAATCCACCTAAACTTTGGTTCCCTTATTTCTCACAAAATACTATTTAAGGTCTATGTTTACAAGCAATTTCAAATAGTCATTTGGGACACAGTGTTGAAGGCTGCTTGGTCTAGGGAGATACCTGGCATATTTAAGTATCAAGAAATTGGTGCAATGTCTTAAAGAGTGAGTTAAAAGGACTTTTTTGATGTTTGTTTTACTGAATCTAAATACAGGTTTGTGCAGAAGCTAGAGACCCACATTCTTAAACTATGCATGAAGCCACTAGCATTACACTGTTAAAGGCACGAGACCAGAGAGCAGATGAACACTTCTGTTAGGAATAAGACTCGTGGATGGGTAGCATCAAAACAGCCTTAATAGCTTACCATTAATGTAGGCACACTGATTTTCCCTCAAAACTCGTTCTGATTTCTTAGTCATTTCCCCATTCCCTTTTTTTTCAGGCCATGCAAACAGTGTCTCCTTTAGATTTCCCTGGAGGATCTTCATAAAGCAGTGTGAGTCAGTGTGGTCATGGATGCTGCTATATATGTAAAAAGAAGAACGAAGCTCAGTGTGATATACATATTTAATTTCAGTACAGCAAACAAGACAGATGGCATCGCATATTGTATCTGGATATAGCCTTAGAACGAAATGCCACTGCACAGGGATCATGCACAAAAGCCTTAGGAAAAATATATTAATTGCGACTAAGGTACACCTACTTAAAACTGCTACTTTAGAAAATGTATTGGGATAAGCTCACATATAGCAGGACTTGGAGAAGAGTCAGATATTGATCAGCCTATGACTTTGCCACAGAAAAATACCAAGGAAGTCAGAAAAATTCTTCAGAACACAAAACGTCTTGTGGGCCAAAAACCAACACTTTCCACAGTGACCCCAGGTAGGGGCTGGTACAAACTTGCAAGTACAGCTGATATTTGCAGATCCACCATGCCTGCTCCCAAAACATGCAAGAAATGAGCTACTTCTGCTTAACTTCTATGCTCTTTTTACTGCTGAAGTGCACAGGCATTTGTTGAAGAAAAAATGCTGTACCTCTCACTCTGATAGCATGCTACAGTAAGCTGTTAATTTCACTAGTTTGGCAAACCACAAACAAACTAGCAGGATCTGGTATGATTTATCTGCTTGCTTAACCTGCCTCCTTGTTCTGAAGTATGTTTTAATTGCTAAATTTGGGGACATCTGGGCTGGATATGTAGTTTAGTTGGTTTTGGGTGTTTTTTTGGTTTTTTTTAACTAGAGAACTGACTGTTACAGAAGTCAATAGGATTAGGACAAAGGGAGAGCTCTCCACGCATTGGAGGCGAGGGAGAAGGGGGAATTTGACCCTCCTGGAAGAACAGTGCTAATGAGTTTCAATCAAAAACTTGGAACTTGTATGTTACTGTTTTCAGTAAACAAATGTCAGGGTTTCTTACTAACTGAGATGCCAAGAGAGCAGACCTTGCTTCAGGCACAAAACAGTTCATGAATGCCATGCTGTCACACTCCTTCCACAAGCCACGAGAACAATCTGATCCTCCTCATGTAGGAAGCAAAAACAACTTGTGGTCTCATACTAGCTCTAGCAAATCCTCATCCAACTCAAACACAGTTGACATAAATTACAGGCTTTGTGGGAATAGCCTGGAAGGAGTAGAGGCAGTGGGCTTGGTTGCCGTGTCCTTCTGAGTATAATGTCATGGCATCCCCCAGAGAGTACTGTAAATGTTCAATTGCATGCTCAATTAAAACAAACAAGAAACCAGCTCTGACATCTCCTTAGGTTTTCTATTTATATGCAATAATAATGAGTCCAAACCTGCAAGTTTTGTTATTCCATATTTTGTTTTAGCAACATTTTGTGAAAGACCCTCCAAGGGACTGATCCTGCCCTCACGTTTGTAGGACTACACAACCCAGTGTATACAACTCCAGGGGCACATCAGCAGTGTGGTCCATTTTGAGGAACAATATGTGAATGTGTGAACCTAAGGAAAGCCATGCACTCCCAGAAAGGGGCTCCCTCTTCACAGCCCACAGTCCTAACCCAAATCTACTTTTCTCATCTTGTCACAGAGGTAGGATTTAAACACTACAAGAGAAAAAAAAGACTATTTAAACAGTGCCAAGTCCTGCTTCTGCAACCAAGTGTTGTACAGGTCTGTTGTATGGGACAGGTCTGTTCAACCTGTCCTGTCCACAGGACCTGCTGTAACTCTGGGACTAAAAACTTCCTCTGACAGAAGGGAACCTTAGAGTTGATAGGAAAAACAGAGCATTTTTAATAATAGTCTAAAAATGTTCACGAGGTACAAACTTGCAAAAGATACAGCAAATATTCAGGACTGTTGTACCAACAGGAGCTCTGTACTGCTTAGTTTCTAGACATCTTCTGATAGCTCGTATAGGTCTGATTATCTGTGTCTTTTTGTACGACAGCGAACGATACAGCGGCTTTATATCTGTTTGCTAAAACCATAGCCTTTGGATACGAACCTGCCATGCCCTTCACCCCAGCACAAGATCATCAAGTTGAACTTTCCATTGCCATTGTCCACAAGATTTCTTGTATACCTGAAATACAAAGTGTTTGCCTTGTATTGCATAGGTACTGATGTGCCTATGAAATACCAAATTATATAAACATGTTTATGAAATAAGGTTGTGACATATAAAAATCATTTCTCTTCTTTTTCTTGAAAGCAAAATTTTACTCAGAAAAAAAATTAATTGTATCTTTAACCTTTTATTTTTTTAAGAGGTATTTTTCTGTGAAGAAAAAAATTTACATTTAATATTTTATAATAATATTGCTTTGAATTACATAGATGACTGGAGTTTGGGAACTGTGAGTCTGAGAGTAGAGTGGCAGACAGGATCAAATCAAAATAGTTATTGAATGAAGTCACTTCAGCAGCTGGCTTATAATTAGAAACAGAGGACTGCAATGGAACAAGAAAATACATGGTTACATTCTTCTGCAGCTCCTTTTCAGATATTCTTGGCTTTCCTTCTGTTATGCAGCACTCATTTGTACAAAGCCAAAAAAAACAAGGAAATAAGATGTCAGACTTTCTGTACATGGTCCTCCTACTCTATCTGTGAAAGTTCTACATCTGTAGCGTTTGTGTTGACAAAACACCTGTGGTGTCATTTCTGCCAGCATCTACTTCTAAACAAAGTTTATCAGAGCAAAATTTCTCAAAAAGATTTTTCTTGTGCTAACTCAGGTAGCACAGAGTAAACTTGCTTCTAAAGGCTTTTTATCGCTACGTGTATTCTAGACTGCAATTTGATCTCAGGGCTTGAAAACATCTTTAATAGCAACATCTTATGGTTGTTTCCTTGTACTCTCCTGCAAGCCTCCACCAAGCTGTCTTTCATCTCATCCTATTGAAAAGTTCACTAGAGAAAGGACTAGGATTTTGCTCTACACATTACTTCCATAGTGGGGCTCTTCTGATCTAGAGCTGGTGCTTCTAGCTATTACGATGCAAATAACCCATTGGGACCTTCTGGTGTCATCTGAGCTTTAGTCATGACTATTCACACTCTGCCAAGTAAAGCACATATTCATGCTGCTGACAGGATGCCTCACTCTCACCTCAAAGATGTGAGCAGGGGCACACAGAAAGTGCACCGATGTCAACTGAACAGCTTTTAATACATTTCCCCATAAGACCACTCTATTTTAGATAGGATATAGGATGCTTATAATTAATTACTTTCGAAGTATAACTTGTATATCTATATGCTTCCTCTCACTGCATCCACAATTTGTGTGTATATTAGGTAGACAGTTTTCCCATAATGTCAGAACACAAGCCATCAATGCTGGCCTGTGACTGAACTTTCCAAGTGCTTTTATTTCTGTACAGCAGGTCTGGCTGGCCCAAAAAAAAAAAAAAAAAAAAAAAAAAGCTGCCATGCATACTTGTAATATTAGCACACTTTGGTTTTCCAGTTCTTAGTTTCCTGTGTTCTGTTAAAAATTTTGTGATTTGTAACAAATTTTGTGATTTGTTCCAAATGAAGGATAGTCCATGCGAGGTGAAAGGAGGCTCAAATTAAGTCAAGCCATAGTGATGCTTTCATGATAGCAAGCTTAAAAGGAAAAGTTTTGGGGTTTGGGTTTTTGTTTGTTCATTTGTTTTTTAAAGGAAGTGCTCAAATAAAATGTATTTATTTTGAAATTCAAGACAGGGAAGCCATCACTGGAAGGAATAAATCACTTGTTAGCAAAGTAGGAAAGACCCAAAAACCCTAAGAGTTATTTTCCTTCCTCCTGGGAAGCAGCAAAAAGCCTCGACCTGCTTTACCCCGGAGGAGGAAAGGGGTTCAGACAGCTCCCGACCTACCGGTGAGGAGGCTGGAACACACGCACCGGCTCCTCGACAGTAACCAGACCGTCACTTGGGAGCACTCTGCCCCCCAACCCCCGCGCGGCGGTCC